CTTCGTGAGTCATTTCCCAAATTTCTCCATTTCAAAGCTTAAAAATATGCAATTAACATGAAGTTTTATAGTATAGATTAGTAAGTATTCCATTTTTTATATATGTATTTGGAATATCCCGTACCTTACCAAATATCAGCTGTATAAAAAAGTGTGATTATTATGTAATTTGAAGCGAAGTGAACACCCATGCAGAACAGATTAGTACATTCGGTTTTATATAAGTTTTTAACGTTGTATGCAGATTTCGTGGGTGGGTTTTTTTTTTTTTTTTTTTTTTTACGCTTTGAAGAAATGGTAAAAACTTAGTATCTTCATTCGACAGTGCCTGCCGTAAGGCCCTATAATCTAAACGAATCTTTGTTGAATTTATAACGGAGAAGAAAAAGAAAAAAAAAAAAAAAAAGAGAGGTTCACGTATACTTGTGTAATGAGAGAGTGCCAGATAGTTTTTTTATCAGATGCTCTTCCACGTACATTATTTATCTCAGTGTGCTCTGTAAAAGAATACGCAACTTCTCAATCTTGGTTTCCTTTGAATTATTGATTACCCACCTCTCGCCATGTTGTTAATTATTAGTAATCAGTCATCTCTTCTTCCTCTCTCTCTCTCTCACAGGTATAAAGAAGTTTTCTTCTTTAGTAAACAGTGATTATTTTGAACAAAGATATAAAATAAATCTTATATCTTTTAATAAAAGGAAATTTAAACGGTTCATTTATATGTATCCGCTTTATACAGTTCCAAATGTTTGACAAATTAAGTTTAAAATCAGATTTTCTTTTTCTTTTGACAATTCACAATAATTTTACATATTGTAAAAATATTTTTTTCATGCTTTCAGAATTGCGTCTGTGTTGTATAGATCTAATGAAATAATAAACGAACAATGATTCCACCTTTAATGAGAATGATTTTAATTCATCAAGATTACATTTATCGAAAGCGTTTTGATGCTGTTCGTTTCCAGCGGTATAGTTTTTAGAAAGCATCTTTCATATTAAATATGTACAGAGGAAGAAAGAGTTGGGGTATCTCTGGAATTTGAAACTCGGGTCGAACTACCAATGTTTAATGGCTTTACAGCTTAGTCATAAGACCTCTTGAAATTAGGCTTATACGATGCTATGTGTTGAACTATATTAAAAAAATCTGATGTGTATACCACATGACTTCCTTGTACGGAATACTAAATTATATGCAATTTTTCCTGCATTTCATTTAAACTTATCGAATTAAATTAAATCTACTTCGTTGATAGTGCATAAACCACAATAGAATAAATGCGCTTTTTAAAATTCACTTTATTTATTTACTATCGCGATGCTCTGGCGCGAGGTTCACTTCTCATGAGGGCGTTACATCTCATTCATTTTATAACTCAGAATGCATGTTCTATTCAAATTCTATAATAAAGCTAAAACGATGTATAAAAGAAATTAAACAAAAAATAAACAGTTTTTCATAGACGATTCAGCACTGCTTACCTAATGCTCATGCGCTACTCGTAAACATTCTCCTCTGTCCGAAACAGACTGGCAACAATATTTTCTGCTAATATGAAACACTTATTTCGTCGAATTTCATTAGAGATATATTTCTCATTCAATTAATTCCGTTCTCACTTCGCGACAAGGAAAAAATACATAAAAACTCAAAATATCTATATTAAAAATTGAAATATATAGAAACATGTAAAACACACCAAATACAGTTAAAACAATTTAAAAACGTTTTTTACAATTAAAATTAGTTTCTACGCAAAAACAAGCAATTCGGCCAGCGTGCGTGCAAGAAGGCAGATTTTTTGGTGCACAAAACTGAAAGTTTACTTTTGGTCTCACTCGGCAAAAAGACACTGAAGGCGTAGAAACTGATTTAATATGTTGTGCTATGCTGAGTCAATATATGGAATAATTTAATAACTTAAATTATAATTCCAGAATGGATTAAGCAATAATAATATTAATCCGCAATAATAAAAGAAGACGTTACTTCTCTAGATTGGCAACAAATTCGTTATTCTGCTAAGTTTCAAAGGTAAACAAATATGGCTGCTATAATTTAAAAAAAAAAAAAAAAGTTAGGCTTAGCAGCACTTAAACAATTTTTAAATTGTTGATAATTTTACAATTATAACAATTGAAATTATTATATAATTGAAAAAATTGATAAACGCAAACGTACTGAAATCTTAACACGACCTTCTATGCGTAATGTAACTGAATTCTAAAGATGATCAAACTGTGTTCATGCTAAAATAGAACCTTATCGCATTACTTTTTCCAAGAACTACAAAATTTCGGCTTCTCCAAAACAGTATGAATTCTGCATTCTTTAGCAAGAATACAGTTTGGTCATCTTTAGAATTTAGTTAGATTACGCATAGAAGATCGGGTTCAGATTGCAATAAGTTTACGTTTTTCAGTTTTTTTTTTTTTTTTTTTCAATTATTGTTTCAAATAGGTTTTCAGTTTTTTAGTTGCTAATGCTTAGATTTTGACCTTTTTTATTTATAGAAATCTCTATATACAGTTTTTCGTTTTCTTGGTATTAAAAGTTTAGTTTAGCCTAATCGGGAACCTCCCAGTCTTTTAGTTTTGTTTAAATGACTGTTAGTTTTGCTCTTTATTTATACTTGATTTTGAATTTCGGATTAGCATATATTGGTTTTAGATGAGTTTGTTTTTTTGAATTTCAATGTACATGTTCATGTGAATTTCATGTACAAATGTAAAGTTCTGTGGTTTTTAATTGTCATTTTGGCACTATGTAGTTTTTTATTCTTTTCTCCAAGTGTTTCGAAAATATGTAAAGAAAAGTCTGGTACATTTGAGATTAAAGTTTTCGGTTTTATATGAATTTTAAAATTTTAATAAAAATTTTATGTAATCTTTTACGGTTTTTGATCTCAAATGGACCGGGAGAACGAAAACATATTTTGGAAAAATATTAATCGACTTTTATGAAGCTTTAATTCATTTTGCCCTGACGAGTTCTAAATTAGAGTTTCAATGAAAGGAGATTAATTTTTATTTGTATAATTTTGTATATTTTCCATGTCGCATTTTTATTTTTCGAGTTTCTTCTACTATGAATTCTTATACACGGTTGCAGTTATTATACGATTATAGAGGTATTATAGAGGAATTGTCTTGCTTTTATTCCAATTGAATAATAAATTTTGATTCTTTATGTTTATTCTACTTCATTCCTGCAGCTATAGCGCAGGATGTGTTTAAAAAGTTTTTAATTCTAATTTTTAGCCTATTTTTATATTTTTTATATACATATATATAATATTATATACAGTATCGCATTTTTTTAATAACCAAAATATCCCAATATTATTTCCGTGCAAGATGCTGCTGAAAAATTAATCAATGACCGTATTTGACGGCATAAAAGACGCACTTTTTTTTCCTAAATTTGGTCTCAAAAAAGTTACCTGTGTCTTATACGTGAAGGTTAACTTTCAATACTGAATGTGGGCTCACCAGCGGCCGAGCGGTAAAGTCGCTGAACACTGGTAGTTCAGTCCGAGGTTCGAATCCCGCGAACGGACTGGCTGCATGGGTGTTTTCGTGGTTTACCCCATGTGTAACGTGTATACGAGCCACTTTCCCTTAGAAAGTCCTCCACGAAGGCATCCCTTCCCTTAGGCAGATAGCCCTAGTGTGCTTTGCCATAATTAAATACACCACACCAATACTGAATGCTATTTTTAGCCCGGATAAAGGTTTTTCTACATCTACATGTGTGTGCCCTTCTAAATAAGGGTGCGTCTTATATGCCGTGAAATACGGTATATACAAAATAGTAAGAAATTTAGAATTAAAACTATAAAGACCTGAAATTTAAAACCAGTAAAATCTCTAATAAAAAAATGTATTTAAAAAAAACCTTCAACTCAGTGTTTTAAACCATAAGAAACCATGAAAACAACAGTTGATTTCTTTCATGTCATTGCGGTTTCGGTTCTAAATTTCGTACTATTTTGTCTATAATTGATTAAAATATTACAATTTATACTTTTGGTACTGCCGATTGCAATAAAAAGGGAGGTGTACGACTAGATGGTATAGCAATCCCATATACGGAATTTCAGTGTTCTACAGCTAACCGCCTTTTAGTTATGAGAGGTACATACTTACGCAGGTACGTACAGATATCTTAAAAACCCCATTTGCAATCCATTTTACAATCTGCTTTGGAATAAAGTGTTCTTTAGTCTGTTCGTATGTGCAAATGTCACGCAAAAAAATAATCCAAATGTATTCAGGAATGGTCAAAACGGTTATTTCCGTTGAAATCGGAAACCGGAAATTTTTCGCGATTACAATACTTCCTTTACTGCGTACAAGGAATTAAAAATAATTTCTTCAAAGTCAGAAAGTATAGCATCATTTACAAAAATAATTGTTTTCGAAAGTTAATTTGTTTATGATAGGCTAGAATGGCCGGCGATCCTACGAAATGACCGCTGTTCTAGATATTATAAATTGTAATTAAAATGATTTCTGCGAAGGTGTCTGCTATTTCAAATGAATTACCCAGGGCAGGCGGCGAGGACGCCCCTTTGCTTACTACCCCACGGGGTTTCACCCTTCTACTTGCTTAATTGCCTAGAGTAGAGTGCAATAAAGGAAACCACTGGCGGTACATTTCTTAAGAGCCACCGCTACCTCAATAAATAAAGGTGATTTAAATAATAAAATGTGTCATGTCAAAGATCATGTCACATGTCAAATATCTCTTTGTACACAACATTTCTTGTGTAGATCTTTGCATCATTTTTAAGCTCGCCTTGCAGAGGACCATCAATTATTTTTAATTTTACGTCCGTTCTTTCACGAACTCCTGAACAGGCAACATAAAGTTGACCGTTTCCAAATGCAGGCTCATGTAAAAAAATGCTAACACGCTTAAGCGTTTGGCCCTGAAACTTATTGATGGTCATAGCAAAAGCAAGTTTTACAGGAAATTGTCTACGTCTTAATTAAAACGGCAACCCTGTTCGAGATGGAGCCAAAGCAATTCTTGGAATGACATGTATTTCACCTTTAGAGGAGCCAGTCAAAGATTTTATGACATTATTTTTCAGTTGGAGAACCTCTAGTCTTGTACCATAGCAAAGACCCCTTCTGGTGTTAAGATTTCTTAACAGCATAGTAATTGCTCCAATCTTTAACCTCAGTTTGTGAAGTGGCATGCCAGAAGGCGACAGACTACTTAAAAATTCCGTTGGAAAGTTGTTGACACTCGCTTTATTATCAGCTACAACGGAATCAACACTTAAATATGTCGTGTCGTTCCCTTCTGGGATATTTAAGACATCTTCATTTAGTTTGTCTACATCAGAATTTTTAGGACTATATTGCCCTTTCACTAATTCACTGATGTTTCCAGGTTGGATTTTATTACCAAAGCCCCAATCCACTAAACTATCTTTGCATATCATTGACAAAGGAATCTCGACAACGTCTTCACTCAATCCATTATCATCAGAAAGAGTTCCATTTCCAAGTTTTAAAAGCCACTTACTATATTCGGGGTCATTTGACCTCATGTTCATTGTCAGTGGGAGTTTCTTAAATAAATCCCATGACTTTGCAAATTTTATGCTATTTTGTATTATTGCGGCTTGTGAAGCATGAGGCAATACTTATAGACATTGTCTAAAGTCACCTCCAAGAAGTAAAACTTTGCCTCCAAATTGGATAATCATTTTTCATGATTTCTTTTAACAACCTGTCAGTTGTATCCAAAACATGGTTTGAACCAGGGTGCAAACGTCAATTATTATGAGCTTTGCTTCTCTTAAAAGCTTTGCTTTTTCAGTATTTAACTTAATATTAGATACTGAAGTTTCATTTAATGGAAATGGCAATCCAAAAAGATTGTGTATTGCCTTTCCATCAAGTAATGAATTTGCGGCTACGCCTGTTGTAGCAGCAGAGAGGACAGAAATTTTTTTTCCTCGGCAATACCTCAACAGAGTTGTATTAAGATATGTTTTTCCAGATCCCTCAGAGGGAAGAGGGGGTACCGTAAAAAGAAACAGTTTGCCACCATTGATTGGCGCATCTAAAGCAGTTAAAATAAAATCATACGCTGACCTCTGTTGAGCATTAAGAGTCTCTTTATCTCTTTCTGCAACTGCCATCTTATCCTCCAGATTATATTGATTTTCTTGCATAGCAAGATCAGCAGGAAGATCTTTTAAGCCAAAGCTTGAACTAAGGAGTGTTCTTGGAAAACACTCTGCACTTCAAGAAGTGAGAAATTTTCACAAATAAAATGTGGCAAATGTTCATTATTAGGATTGATTTTATGGCAAAAACTTTCCATCATGTGTTGCTTGAACTGATTCCATAATTCAGCATGCTGAAGAAAATCGTCGGCAAATTTGCATATATATGCAAGAAGATGGCAAAGTTGCCTTGAATTCAAAAATTCTTTAGCTTCATCTAGGGTTGTTTTCTACAACTGGTGATCTTTTAAAAGACCGCAAGCTTTTGCCGCTTCATAAAAAGTCGAATATTCCACTTTATTAAATGTTTAAGGTATTCAAAAGAAGTGACACCCTTGATGTGTAAAAGAAGAAGCCGTAAACAATAGCGTTCTTTATCAGCTGGATTGACAATGTACATTCTTCGATTACTTTGTCTCCGCCCCATTGGCGCTGGCACCAATGTCCTGGTGCTTTTGCATTGTATACAAAATGTTCAGGGATATCACGATAGTCATATTCCTTAGGTTCATCATTGTGCTCATTAAGTTCAAACCAAGCAGTCAAATTTGCGTGCTTATTTGCTGCTTTTTTAAACAGCTCCTTCTAAATCTTCAGGATTGAAGCACACATACTGCACAAATGCACTTGTAATATGTAAATTGTATGACTCTGATAGTGCATACTGAAACCAAATATTCGCCTTGCCGCTTCGGGGACGCTAACATAACGTCAGTCCAAAAATTTACAAATCTCATCCTGATTTTGATTTCTCAGTTCAACTCGTGCACAGTCATGCCCTTTATAAATGTATTTATAAAGGTATTCCACACTTTTAATAGAAGCACAAACTTCTACGTTTATATGGGTATTTTAAAAGTAAATAAGGACTGTGTGGCTCAATCCACGAATTATCTATTACTTTATTGCCAATTATTGTAGGCTCCGTCCTTCTACGTCTGTATTTTGGATATCCATTCACATCTTTATTTGTGAAGGTAGCAAATGCTTTAGGAAACTCCTTTTCACATTTGCCATTTTCCATGCAGACTCAGTTTGGGTTTATTAATCCACACGGACTGTGAATCATGTGCTTTGTTACAATTTCAAAAAGGCTTGGCGAATTGACTTTGTCTGGAATTTCTGCGCAGACAATTTTGTCAATGTCAGCCTCACTTTTTAGCTTTGATTCACTATCTAAATTTATTAAAATGTGACAGTGGGGCAGACCCCTTTTTTGAAACTCAATGACATATACCATTGTTTGGACTTTGTCAAAGAGTCCGTCTTTTAAATCTTTTAATATGGATTTTAAATTGTAAGGATTATGTTAAATTTTAAGTTCCTTTCCTGTCAAATTCTTAACTTCAACTTACTACTTCCGGCCAGAATGTAGTTTTGGAATCTTTCTGAATACTTAATGAGGAGGAGCGGTATTTAAACTGCGAAGTTACTTGCAGAGTTAGAGAGAATCAGAGTTTCTGATTTACGCGCGTCTGCCTTTCGGCTACTCTCCCTCTGAAAGCTGTTATTACGCTCGGCCGTACTCAGGCCCTTGATAAGCTTCGTAGTCAAATAGAATTAACGGGCCAACTCGATTAGAATCTTGATAGCTTCGGCTATATTTCTTTAGTTAATCTTAGTTTTAGCTTAATATTTAGTCTAAGTTCAAGCCCAAGTGTCGGCTTTGATTGTACACTCCAAGGCGGAGTTTTGTTAAATCTTATTGGAATAATAAAGGGTTAGTTACCCTTCCGTCTTGCTGTTTCTTGTCATATGAACTTAAGCGATTATTCACTAACTAGTTCTTAAGATACGTCACTTTCTACGGTGACTGAGAATTACACTAGTGAGAATCTTACAAACTTAATGTTAAAACCCCTTGCTACAATCATCTATCAGGTCTATTAGTAGCTGTTTGACCATTCTTCAAATTATTCTGGATGCCATCCCAATTTGGATTACATGCCTTATTACAAAAAGGTCTGGCTTACCAAAGTTTGTAACAATAGACATTGCATCTTGAAATCTTCTTTGCATGTTTATGGAACTGCCTTCAAAGGAAGATGGTAAAACTATCTTTTTCCCAGGAACTTCAGTGTCTTCTCCAATTAAGTAGTCAGAGAGACCATTGTATTTTTCAGTTCTAAGACCTTTTTGGTGAGTTTTAAATATAGTAAAGCCGCCCAGATTCCATTCGGCAGTACCAATCACAAAAGAGTTGCTGAGTTAATTTTCCTGCCATTATAAGTGGATTAAAGTTGTTTCGAACTGACAACGTATAGCTATAAAATTCCATTTCTGAAATTTGCGATCTAGTTTTCCCAGGATTATTTAAGCCAAGTTTAGGCTTCCAACCTTGCTCTCCTCGTGGAAAAAGTAAAGGATACATCATCGGGTCAAGATTTGGATCCCATGTGCTAATTCGCTTTAATTCAGTTTGTCCAGGTTGAGCCTTTGAGTTAAATTATTAAATCTCGCTCATGTGGTGGCTCTCCATCAGTGTTTTCAAATATAACAGCCACTTCGTTGTCTTGCTGGACATTATACCGCCTTTGATCTAAGTTACGATCACAGGCAATGGTCATGGCAATGCTGATTGCTCGCTCATTGCTTGCTATAGCATTATAGGCTAACTTTTTTTCAACTTCGTGCATCATTTTATATGCAGAAGCAAATAGGTCAATGTCTTTAAATAATTCTCCCATTTTATTAAGTAAGGTCTGAGGAACTCTTTTATTCCATTCTAAACGTGCCGAACTGGCTTCTGAAGATCGAGTATATATAATTGAGCAAACTTTCTTTTCCCGTCAGAAGGATGCAAAGTTCCAGTTTGATGGTAAACTTGACCATGAAGTCGAAAGCAATAAGTCCTAGTCCAGCCAAGTCAATTGGTTTGTTTCCCATGGACACAAAAGCAAACGAACTATTAATGGATCGAATGCTATCCATGTACTGTTTGCTATTTGGATGCTGATTAGTCAATAATTTATTTAAGAGTGGTGGATAATTCTCAATTAGTAAAACTATAATGTTTCCGTACTTGCAACATTGAGAAAAATCCTTTCTTGCCACGGTCAAATCGATTAGTTTCTAACTTGAAGTTTAAGGACTGACAGTGTTCACATTTAATATTCATGTCACCACAAGAATGCTAAAAAAAAAACTTTTTTGCTTTTGAAACTATTTTAATCGTTTTTGCGTTTCGGTCAGCATTACTCTGTCATTTTGTTACATTTCTCTCCTGCCTTTGTTCAAGGGACTCATTTTGTCGAGAAAGGCGCAGTTGCTCTGCGACTGAAGCAAGCTTTGTCTTTCTCTGCTCAGTCGAGTTTGTCAGTCCTTTTTGTCGAGCAAGCCGTTTTGTACAGCTTTAGCTCCTTTTCTCTCCTCTTCATTGCTGTATTTTCTAGGAGGCATTCTTAAAATAAATTACGTTAAGACGTAGTTTTTATGTAAAACAGATGATTGCCAATGCAAACAAATGTTCACGTTCCCCCTGACACGCTCAATTTGCGTTCAGCTGAAAATTCGGCTTAAAATACAAAAACAGATTTAATAATTTTAAAGGAAAATGCATTTATTGAAAACCAAACGTATGAGATACTATTGGCTAGTACAGTTACGCAAGCAACCATTAAACTATCGGCGACACACACTTAAGCCGCTTATATTTTGATAGATAAACAGTATGAAAGATTTTAGTGAAATTCAAAGTTGCGCAACAAAGAAAAATTGAATAAAGAAAAATGAGTAAAATAAGCCAAATAATAAGTAATCTTGATGATGTAATAATAGTAATAAAAATACTTGATACTAATGATTAAATTCTTGAATCCCTTTGAATTACTGGTATTGCTTAAGAATCGCAAAATACCTGTTATAGTGACCTTTTCTTTATATTAAAAACCTTGCACTATAAATTGGAAGAGGAGGATAGAAAATTCAAATTATTAGTTAAATTTAAATTTATTACCTATGTGGTTATTCGTATAGCTTCTAAAAAAATGAAATTTTTTATGCATTTTAAAAAATAGCAAACACTTTTCTATAGTATTGTCCATGCGCGTAGTATTTATTGAAAGAATTTTAACTTGCCTTATTATTTTACTTAAATTTATTTTCTTGAGACCTAATGTTAATGGAAATGACATACTTCTTGTTTTCACGAGCTGTTTTATGTTTCGGCATTACACGTGCAGTTAAGTATTTTATTGTACATAATTGAATATAGATTATAAACAGTGTAATTTAAGATAGTAGCAAGAAATTTAGATTTTATGCTTTTGGAGTGTTTGATTTGTTAAAATGGATCCCGAATTTCATTATTCATTTGGATTTAGATGCGATATCAGTCGTTGTGTAACTTTCTATGATGAAACTACATTGTTGTTTTTATCTGGGAGATTATGCATATTATTTGATTTGGACACTCGTAAACAAAAGCTTTTACAGTTTTCGGATCAGTGTGAGATTTCCGTTATAACACGATGCGAAAATCATTTAGTTGCTGGTTTGAAAAGCAGCCCTCCAAGTTTATGTTTGTATAATATTTTATCTGCTACAAAGAAAAATTACTCTGGTCTTAAAAAACCGCAGCAGTATGAATATATATGTCTCTCTGTGTCTTTAAATCTCAAATTCATTGCCGCTCAAGAAAGTGAGCCGGATTGGACACTGGTCATTTGGTTGTCGCAGACGCGGGAAATTGTAGCTACTTTTAATCCAACTGCTACAAAGCCAGTATCGATCGTGCATGACATTTCCTTCCATGATGGCGGTAGGGATGAGATAGTCATAGTGGGTAAAAGCATATTGAGACTATATGAATATCAAAAAGAGCTGGAAACTGAGGAGGAAATTTCTTTCGTTGAACACATATTTGAAAAACATGAAGAACGCGGAGAATACACCTCGATTAGCTGGCCTCAAAAAGAAAACTTAGCTGTAAGTACATTAAATGGAAAAATTTTATTCTTCAGAGGTATTGAACAAATATACGAAATAGAAATATTTAATGTCTTCTTACAGGAACTTACCAATAACGAAGTGAATGAAGAACATATTACTAGGTTTGGAAAATCAGTGTATAGTCTAATAGCTATGTCCTCTGAATTATTCTGTGTTTTCTCTGGAAAATTCGTCATCATGTATAGAGGAGAGGAAATAAATCAATATAAACTCAGCAAAGTATTTTTAATTCCTCCTCGAAAGATGATGGATGTGTTTCCTGGTGAAGTAAGTAGAAATGATGATATATTGACTAGTCTGCATTTGAATTCCACTGGCAGTATTTTGGTGTCGACGACAGATAATGGGCAGCTTTTATTCTTAAATTGTAATGACGCTGGTAACTTCTCTTATTTTAGTAGATTGATTGATGAACAACACAAAGAACCTATCATAGGAATGGATGTAGCTAAATGTAGACCTATTATTGCTACTTGTTCAGAACAATCTGTTATTTTATGGAACTATGAAAGCAAAAGTAAAGAAATGTATAAAAAGTTCAAAGATCAGATTTTAAGTATTGCTATTCATCCTACAGGTTTATATCTTGCAGTGGGATTTCTACGATATTCTAGAATCTGTAGCATCTTGTACAGAGGGCTGAAAGAATACAAATTGGTGTTGACTACAGATTGCTCTCGCATAGACTTTTCTTCTAATGGCCATTTATTAGCAGTCGTAAATGATTTAGCTATAGAAATCTATTGTTTCATTAACCTTACGCTATTAGCGAAACTCAAAGGGCATGCTGGTCAGATTACTTGTTGCGCATGGAAGGATCAAGATACTAGGCTTATCACTTGTGACGCGCGAGGTGTTATTTGTGAATGGGATTTACTAACATGGAACAAGTTGTGGGAAAACACTAACATTTTTCCTTATTCATCGGTTGTAGTCAGTTCTGTCCAAAATAATATACTTGCAGTAGGTTCAGATAAAACTTTGAGGTGTATTGCGCACAGTCGTTTTCTGTGGGAGGTTTCTTTAGCGAAAGAACTTACTGCTATTGTTCCTGCAATCGAAGGCACTACTTTCTATATAGCTGATTCAAATGGCTGCTTGCAGACGCTTTGTGTCCCAACACCCGCGAATTTCATGCCATTTCAAATCTTCGCACATAATGATAGAATCAGCGAAATGAAGTCTGATTTCAGCTTCAGTTTCTTAATCACTGCTGGATATGATGGTATGCTATTATGTTGGTTAATTGCTGAAAACAGAGCTGCTACTTGTCACATTTTCTCTGATCTTAGTTTTATTAGTGTACAAGATATCGAAAGACGTAAAGAAAGAATTGAGCAACTGCGGCTTTCTTTTAAACGTGGTGAAAAGGCTAGACAGTGCGAACTGCGGCTAAGTGATCTGCGACATGATGAAATATTAAAAAGAATCGATATGGAACATGAGCAAATATTAGATGCTTTAAACGAGAAAATAGCGGTCATTAAAGAAGAAATGCAAATCTTTATTTTCGATTCGTTTTCTGAGGTAGAACTGAATGCATTCAGAGTAGCTAAAATAGAGGAAATTGTTGCAGCTAAACAAGAATTAGATAAAGCTTATATACTTTCAGCCACTTGTGCTGAAGAAAATCTACAGGCGGTCAAAAAATTTGAAACAATCATTGATAGTTTAGAAAAAGAATATAAAGTATATGAAACAACTGAATTAAATAGGAAAGTACTATTACAGCGAAAAATTAAAAAGCTCGAAATCGAAATAATGGTGGCAAAAGACATCAACCATGAAATACAGAAAACCTGCGAAAATTACCGTAATAACATGTGTGGTAAGATTACCGCGGAAGCAGACCCCATAAATGGATCGCAGAAAGAGATGATGAAAAACGAAAAGTCAAAAACCTTGCGTCTACAGAATGAAGTTAAAAAACTAAAGAAGCTGGTATCCCTTCTGAGAAAAGATACACTTCAAAGACGAAATATAACGGCAGAGAAAGTAGACTTTGAGATTGATGAAAAAATGCGTGTGATTACTGTGCTTAAGACAGAATATCAGCAACTGGTAAGCAAGTTGGAGGCAGGAGATAAAATTATTCAAAATCAAGAAGTGAAATTTTTTGAAATGCGAAAATCAATTGGAAGTTTACAGAGGGGGTACTTAGTGTCGAAAACCGCTATTAGAGATCTTAAAAACGAAATTAATGCCAAAGAAACAGAAATAGAGCTGAGCAAAACAAAAATTAAAGAAATTACGAAATCTTTACCTCAACTGGAAGATGAAATACACCTTACAAGAGATCTGTGTTACACTCTAAGTGAAAAAGTGAAGGAAACTGTTGATGGATTTCATCACAAGCAAAAAATACTTCGAAATACACAAGATCTTATATCTAAATATATGTCTGTATTACATGAGTGCACATCACAAAACTGTGATGCAATTCAGCTTAGGGATGACATTTTGCAATTATTTGAGCAGTGCAAAAGTGGTGCTGGAGACGACGTATTAGATCCTAATTTAAAAGACGAATTCAACTGCCAAATCCTAAAGCTGGAGAAATCGTATAACGAAATTAAAGGCGAACCGGCTAAAGCGATGAGGGAACAATCCTTTGCTGAATTCAGATTGTCTCGAGAAAACTCTAAACTTTTGCAAGAAGTTTACGAAATACAAGAAAAGGTTGAAGATTTGAGGAGAATTATTTTTGAAATGGAGATGGCACTTGGTTTATATCATAGCAAGCAAGCGAAAAGTACTAAACACGCAGAAGAGCTAAGACGTAAAATAGAATTCGTTGTTGATGCTGTTAGAACGAACCGGGAAGAAAAGATAAAGAAAATGAAAAAACTTGATGCGCTCATCGAAGAGCAGCAGAAAGAGATGTTAAGACTGCAAAGATTGATTTTTGAGAAGAAATCCCGACGCCCAAAAGAAAAACCTGCAGTGTATTAAAATTATCTTAGATAGGGAAAGCTGTTCTTTCTTTCTTTCTTTTTTTTTTTTTCCTTAAGAACTTTGGTATAATAGCTCCAACTGATAAAAACAACTTAAAATTATCTGTGATTTTTGTGCTTGTTCCCTCTTTACTTTCGCATTTAATAATTTTTAGCTTTCCGTTCATTGCAATCACTTTTTATTTTGAAATTTGTGTAGATTAATACAGACCAGTGTGAAATGAAGATTTCACAGAACTTGTTTAGAAGATGTGCAGGTGCTGATTTTATGATACTTGAATAATAGCACTTTTAAATGCAAGAGAAATTCTCTGAAATTCCGAATTTCTAGTGCAACATCGAACACAGCGCACCGCATAACTTATATTTTATTGGTTGAAAAATTGTTAGGTTTTTCTTAAGCCGAAAACGTGAAAAATCAGCTGTGCCCTAGCCGGGACTTATACCACGGATCTTCTGATTAACGTGCTACCAAATTACACCAGGAGAGTACGCATAGGGAATAATTCCGTATAAGATTTTTTTTTAAAATCTTTAATTAAATAATAGCTATATATAACGTAGAAAATCCGCATCCTCTTGTTTAATTTAGAACTGGGGAAGGGGGAATTAAACGGCAGAGACGTAGTTGTTCCTTTAATTGGCGTAATACTATTAGCGGTGGATATCATGGCAAAAAAAATGTGAAAAGAATGAATACCATTTTCAAGTGTGAAAAATTGTGTTAGGATGTTTAACGTGCTCATCCTTAAATTTAATGTATTCTAAAATATCCTCGCATCTAGAAAATTATGGAATTTTGGAACGTATTTTACAGCAGCGGAGACCAGAAAAGATTAGTTTCCATAAAATTTTAAATAAGAGATAGGAAAAAAAGTCATAAGCACTTTTGAGTGTAAATATCATATTTCGAATCGTGTCATGAATCATATAGTGCCTGTATGTAAAGAAAAGTATTCACTGTCCATTCAACTACTGATATGGGTTTCTATTAGAATTAAAAAAAAAAGATATGGTCTTGACTATACTACAATTAAAAAATGCAGCTTCAAAAAATTCAGAAATTCTCTTACTGTGCAATTAATTGTAGCAATTTACTATACTGTAAAAATGAGTGGGCGTTTTCATGTTTTTCCCATATCTAATGTTAATACGCGCAAATATCCCTCAGAGAGTCCTTCTGGATGGGGTAATAGCCCTCGTAATCTGTATCAGTCAGCTTATTAATGAGTAATAATGGGAAAATTTTAAGTCTTTCATGCCAATACGTGTACCTCACATGGCATTAAATCCAGAGGCAAATGTCGGCTGAAGCAGTTAGTCTGGACTGATCGGCAAACTATTGTGGATCATTAAGTCTTCCCAAGTAAAACTAAGGGGCCTCTGGATATGATTGTGTTCAGATATACTGGATACTCAAATACAATTGTGTAGTGGACTAATCATGTTAATGCATTGTAATCCAAAACAGACCTATTAATGACCGCATTGGAAACGGATCTAATCCAATAGAATCAGTTTTTACTGTCATAATGCAAGGTTATGACGCATTAGATATGAAGCTTCCGACAACACGAAACAAAATATGAATGGGGCATGCATGCATACATATAAATGATGAAAGGATCGGGGAGTTTTTATGCTCGGTTTCGGGTCCGCAGACTGCTCTAGACAGTACCCTGACTGCCAACTGCAACAAAAAAGGGAGGTGTACAACTAGATGTTATAGCAGTCTCGTATACAAAATTTCAACCTTCTACGGCTAATCTTTTTTGAGTTATGCGAGATACGAATGGACGGATGTCACAAAAAAATCCATTTTACAATCCGTTGTGGGAAAAAAAGAATCCTTTATTCTGTCCGTACGTACAGACATCACCCAAAGAAATCATCGAAATGGATTCGGAAACTGTCATAATGGATATTTTTTTGAAATATGATACCCGAAATTTTTTGCGATTACATTGCTTCCTTTATTTCGTACAAGGAAGTAAAAAGACAATAAAGATGCTACGTATAGTAATTTCATTTATGTAAAATGAAAGTTAATTGCCAGTAATTTAATGATAAAAAATATATAAACATTAAGTTATAAGCAGCGTTTTAATTTTGTGTATTTTCTAATTTTTCTTAAAATTGATAAATGGTAATGAAAAATACATATTTAGAGTATTCAAATACATATAGAAGATTCAGCAGTCTTAAAGCCATAAAAAATTTTCGAAAAAGTTAATAAAGGAAATAAAATATTCTGAAAACTGGGCATTGTATAATTAGAGTTTTTTAACACCTTGAAGAAGTTATTTTCGGTTACAGCGGAAAACATCGCGGCAAAAACAACGCGGATGAAAACGTCACGGAGAAAACAACGCAAGGCGAAAACGTCGTGCTACAAAACATCGTGGGAGAAAACACCGCAAAGAGAAAACATCGTACTTCTAAAACATCGTGGTACAAAATATCGTCGTCGAAAATAAAGCGATTCAAAAACTTCGCAGTTTAAAAACATCGTCGTCGAAAATATCGTGGTAAAAAATAAAGTATCTACAAATGATCGCATGACGATAACATCGCAGACACGCTTTTTTCAGGCTTTAATAACTGTAAATGGATATTCCCATAATGATTTGTGAGCGCAAGATGGAAAGAAGAATAATTTTACTTATTTTATTAAGAATAATTTTACATATTTTTATTAACTAATAAATTTTTGCTGATAAGGTAAGAAGGAAACTTTAAAAAAATTAATGCAACTTATAGCACTTAATAAAATTTTAAACCGACATAGTTAACTAACAAAGGCCGGTAATAAATCGTTTTTTATAAAGTTTTTACTGGTAATTTTTCATGAAAAGTACAATCTAAAAAAGATTAGAAAAAGGAAGGCAAGTAACTACATGACTTTATCTATATAAAAAAATTGCTTCTGTAAAAAATAAAAAAATTTATAAGCAAAAATTTATTAGTTAATAATAAATATGAAAGCAAAAATTATCCTTCTTTCCATCTTGCTCTCACAAATCATTATGGGAATATCCATTTAGAATTATTAAAGTCTGAAAAAAGCCATTTGTCTGCGATGTTATCGTCATGCAATGATTTGTAGATATTTTATTTTTTTTTTTTTTTACCACGATATTTTCGACGATGATGTTTTTAAACTGCGAAGTTTTTGAACCGCTTTATTTTCGACGACGATATTTTGTATCACGATGTTTTAGAAGTGCGATGTTTTCTCCCAGGATGTTTTGTAGCACGACGATTTCGCTTTCCGTTGTTTTCTCCGCGACGTTTTCGTCCGCGATGTTATCGGCGGACACCGTTATTTTCACAAAGCGAATTTCATGGTCCGAACGAAACAGAAAACGCTGGCGGCAAAAATTTGTTGAATCTCTGTGTGTACGCGGTGTAGTGGGGGGGAAAATGCTTAATTAATTGCTTGAATGGTTAAATCTCTCTTTTTAATCAAGTAAGCGCAAATGTGTTACTAATTTATGATGAAATGATATTATTACGATCCCCCTCCTTCTTTCATTTGTTTTACATTCCTGTCTTGAATAAGTCATTTTAAATACAGATTTTCAGGTTTGAATTTTAAATTTCTAAGAATTAATTCCGAAAGTTCTAGGTTTGAATTAAGTAATTAAAGTTTGCCTGATTAATTAGAAATGATTTAACTTATTTAATGCATAATTCTTATTCAAAATTTGTGCATAATTTAATTTAATAAATACGTTAATTAAACATTTGATGCAAAATTCTTTATGAATTATAAATTAAGTCTTCGTCATATTTCTTTTCTCTCCTCCCCTTTTTTTGGTAACTATCGGAAAAGAATTTTAAATCTGAACCTGTAATTAGTAAAATGCGGTTTGTGACACTGCGTATTTTTTAGAACGTAATAAAATTTTGCCACAGATTTTTGTCGGCACTATTGCGCAGGTTGAGTCGTCGCCTATGAATCCTCTTCTCTCCGATCTTCATTACCCATTCCCTGCTGGTAATTTTAAAATAATTATTGATGTAGTCCAGCCACTTCAAAGCCATCCAGCATCTAGATATATCATGTCCCTGATTCGCTTTCCAAATCGTTTTGCCTGGTTTCTTGTTCCTTGGACTTTGAGTAACTGAAAAGTTTTATTAAAGATTAAATTTATTAAGGATAAAACTATTAATCCTAAGCCCAACCTCCAACCTGTAGAACTGCCTTGTCCATATTTATAAATCTCCTGGAGATGGCTATACCAAAGAGTCTGAATAGGGAGAAAAGGTAAAGTTTTAACAACACTACGCCACGGAGAAAAATTGAGTTGGAAATGTGTAAGACATCCATAGATTTTACAGGCATAAAAACAGGTGTTGAAATTCATCTAAGCGTACGTTTCAAATTGTGTTCTACGCATGCGCCAGCAATATCTGAGAGTCTGTCAGAGAGCTGTATTAAACGATTTAAAAACGTGAATTCGTAACATAACTTTAAATTTTTTTTTTTTTTTTCCTTTCCATGTTAGAAATATTTTGCCAGCTTTACCTTAAAAGTCCATTTTATAACATCAGAATGTAATAAAAAATATCACATAAATTTAGTTCTCATTATAACATTTAAATTTTAAATTATATTTTATACTATTAAAGAAATCAGAGTGTTTTGGGAGTATTTAAGTTTGGCTGCCCAAAATATCCAAAAACCAAATTTCATCAAATCCATCAGCTAGCCACAAAATGGACAATTCTAGAAACCCTCCTCCTGACAAGAATAAAACAGTATCTTCTAACAGAAGCATTTGTAGATTTACTTCTTCCTATCTTAAAACCTATATCTTATTCCGAAGCAGTTAAGAATACTGACCCCAATAAAAATTTTATCGAATTCTTTTGCACAAAGAGGGAACTGGAAAACATCTTCGGAAGCACTAAATTATCCTAATTAACATTTATTAACAACTTGCAATAGCAAAAAACTGCTGTAATTCCAATGTAGAAATGTAAATTTGATTCGTAATCTTTAAAGAAATGAGTACATTCCAAAATAATATTTAAACTATGCCTTAGTTGGATTTTAATCCCGACACTACGCCAGCTGAGAGGTAAAAACCAGTTTGCTCATCGTTCAATTAATAAACCAAACGGTTGAGGACGCGGTTAGTAGTTAGGAGAATGACTACTGCGAAGGCTTACTAAGCGCTATCTTCTCGGTATCCATCGCTCTGGTTTTTTTTAATAGTACTATACATTCCATTTATAAATTTATTTATGGAAATATAAAAGCACAGACATTTAAAATGAAAGCATAATTTAATAGAGTATTACATTAGAAATATTAAAACAATTACAACATTCTATCAAATATTTAAGTACGAAGATAATTAATTGTGAAAGAAAATTTTATGTAGAGCAAAAAAAAAAAAAAAAATCGTATGCAAAGCATACTGCAGAATAAAAATTTCAAGATATAAATAACAGCAAAAACCAATTCTCAAACAGCAGATTTACGCGTTGTACTTTAGCATTTAAGGTAGGATTGATTCTCTGTGAATGAATTTCGCCAGCACCCTGCGCCTTTGCTTCACCGCATGCTGCTTTCGATTCGAAAGTCGCCTGACGTTAACGAGCCTGCTTTCTATTATATCTACGAGATCT